TCCATTTCCAATAAATATATACGTATCAGCTTGAATCCGATTCAAGATAATCTCCAGAAATTTGATACATACGAAGTAAGCATCGCACGAGATATGTAGGTAATTCTAATCCATTCCGACCAACTAATTTACATTTTGGCAAGTTTGTGAAGAAATATCCTTTTGCCCTAGGGGCTACCTATTTGAGAGGTCATTCCGTTCCAAAGGTTCTTGGTAAACGTGGGTTCGAATGAAGCCGTAACCCTGGATATGTCTTTGCGGTGTTCTACTCTAACCTGGGCTCCTTAATCTTCAGCTTGACGTGAGCTTAAAAGCTGTATTTTGCATTGAGCACACAAGTCTTCGTATTTTAGCGTAACAATAGATAAATAAATAAATACTCAATTTTCAAGAAGAAATCAATAACACAAATACTGGCCTTTCGATAATTTAAATTAAAAGAAAAATGGCCCTGAATGTCTAAAGGAGTCGAAAATACTGTGTCAATTAATAGATTGGAGGTATCCTTGGCTAAGCGGTATTGCCCGCCAAACGTTGTAGGGTGAAGGTAACGGGTTCGAATCCCTCCGTAAGCCTGGATTAATCTTCGTGCTGTCTTTCACGAAATAGTGCTGTCTGTTTTTCTACTTAACATAGGAATATGAGCTATACTTAGGAAATTGAGTACACAAGCCTGCATAAGTATGTGTACCAATAAATAAATGAAATAAATCAATATGTTACTAAGCAAGAAAATTTTTGTCCGTTTTCGTAGTTTTCGTAATTCTTGTTCATTAATGAAAACATCTTATCTGCCCATGTAATAAAAATCTAAAAAGTTGTATTCATGAGCTGTATACAATGTTCTCCGCTTGATTTGAGAAACATATTCCGAGAATTTTTTTGATACAATGTATGTAAATAAAAGGTGGTAAAAAAGCACTGACTATATATCAACAGAAAGAAATATGAAAGTATCGGTAAAAACTTCGTCTGAGTAGATTTTATGAAAAATATGCACTGCGAGACACTTTAGAGTGTGTTGAAAAGCAAGCGTTCGAATATGCTTCAAGGGGACATTTACATACTACGACAGCACCTAGGGGGCGAAGGGTTCTGTGATTTTCTTCATTTTTGCTTACAAAGAAAGGAAAAGAAGTATAAGCAATGTTTACATAAAAAGCAAAAACAAAAAGAAAATTTTTTTAAATGCAAAAGAAAATGTAACTGTGCTACACTTGTAAAATTTTTAAATTTTTAAATTTTCAATATAAGATAAATTTGAAAAAGGAAAGTATTGAAAAAATAATGTCTTCAAAGAGCTTTAGAGTTCAATTGTGTAGACCACAGAAGGTAGAGAATTTCCTGGAGAATATTTTATTCAAATTTTTTATAAAATCAATTGAATTTTTAATTTTGTTTTAAGCAAAGTTACAGCATATGGTACAGTAGAGTCCCGATTTCACGAGTTAATATGGAGCCCGACTAACTTGGATAACCGAAAGTCCCGCAGTGGACTGATCGTTACACGGTTCCCAGCAGATCACCGAAGTCAAGCATCACTGTCTGCGGTCAGTGTGTGGGTGGGTGACAACTTGGATCAGTCTGTGTAGGGACCGAGGGTGTGCGGTTTTGGTTCTCGTTAAACTGTTCTACAGTAAAGTGCTCGACTTTGCGTGCAGGTCGTCGGGCTACCGAAGTGGGGGTACCATCCTCTCTGCAGAGGATCAAAATTGTGATGGCATGTCTTCGGATCATCCTCAGGGATGTTTTCCAGACAGGCGCCAATAACCCATTGTGCAGCTCTAGTGCGACGTAAATGGACTACTACTACAACTGGATAACCGAAGAAACTCGGTTAAAGCGAAGATTATGAAAAGGAAAGAAAAAGAGTAGGTATAAATGTAATATATTTAACAAATACAAAATTTATGCACCACGTACAATTGATATTACAATTAAAAAGTTTACTTAAAAACACCTAGCGAGCATACTTTAGGAGGATTAAAGAATTTTTGATGAAAGAAGTCCTTAATCGTTTTTTATTTTATATTACTTTGGGACTTTTCTGCAGCAATCTTTCACCATTATTTAGAGATAACGGAAAAGCTGGTGTCGTCTCTTCTTGTCGTTCTATTTATTCAATAGCACTTTCGATAGGTTTTAGGCATGAGGGATTTTAAAATGTTAATTTTCATCGACATTGTCTTCATCATCCTCGCTAAATTCATTTGTATTATTGACGATATTAACTATCATTTCATCGGATCAAGTTGTTGAATTTCGTTTTCTGAGTGCTTGGAAGATGAAATTCCAATTTTTTTTCGACAGTAGTTTTAAAGTTAAAAAATAAAATAGAAAAAAATCCTTGAAATTTCTCGGTTAAAGCGGAAACTCGGATAATCGTGGCTCGGATAAATCTACTGTATTTATATTTAATCCCTCAGTTATATTATAACAGTAAAAGTTTAATTTAAAGCGAAAAACAAGAGACGATGATTACCACTTTGTTGCGTAAGCATGGGAGGGTGTTTGCAATTGCCTTATTTTCTTCTGACAAAGGAGAAATCTAAGTTGTCGGAAGCACACTTAGGTAAATAATTAAATGGTTCCCTGCTTTAATATAATACAAGTGAACCATATAGAGGTGAGCTTCCAGAACTTGATTACGCGATACTATTGCGCAATTTGAAAGGACGATACAATTTACTCCCTTAATATAACTTCAACAAAGTCGGACCGTATTGCGTTTCAATTGTGCCAATAGGCAAGCCTCTGAGATTTCCGAGAACTTTCTGATGATGCATCAAATAATCGACAAAGAAAAGTAGAAGCCGAAAATAAATGAACCAAAAAATTTATTTTATAAAATGCAAATTAAGATTTAAAATCAATGAAATAAGCGTCTTCAATGTATGAATAAAATTTAGATTTATTCCCAATAAGCAAATATTTCCCGGTATTAGGAATTCAAACATTTCAGGAAATTTTATGTTGATTGAGGTTAATGGATTGCGAGAAACGGAAATTCCTCTTGATTGACTTATTTTGAGTTTTCCAGTTACTGCTTTCGTTTATTATATATCAGGGAAAATGCGGTAAGTGCTAAAGCGTGTGTTGTTGCTTTTTCACTTTCGATTTAACCATTTTAATGCAATGACTATGCATTAAGGATTGCGAAATTATCTTACTCAATACTTTCCATTTACTTATATAGTGAAATAAGATTATAAAATGAATTTTCTGCTGATCACAAAGGTGTTTGAAGGGAGGTAAAAAGTTTCGAATTAAACCTTATTTAAATTAAAGACATTATTTTTTATTTCTTTGCGATTATTCTGGAACAATTTAGGGAAGTTGCTTGATGGCTCGATACTTACCAAGAAGAGCATTATTGAGTTTAAATAAAAAGCACTCAAACATTTAACTCTCAAACTTACTTTACAAATGATTAAATTTAAGAGCCTTTAATTTGAATTTATGGATTGTAAGAGAAATTTCAAAGGCTTAATTTTTTGAAACGACAAAACTTGTTTTAGAAATTTGAAAAAAATTTATTTTTTTCCTGTTTTGGAAGGTTTGCAAAACATTGTGATCAATAACAACATCTCTGAAAAATACTAAGACGACATTTTGCACAATTTTTTAAGTATGGAGTTGCATTACAATGAATTTTAAAAAAAATAAAATGATAAATCGAAAAATGTACTGATTGTGAATCAAAAATTAATATATGATTGAAAGTAATCAAAATCTGATAACTCATCAGTTGATCAAAATAACTCAAATAAGTCGCTAAGTTAAAATAGTTCAAAGAAAATTATTTAAAATAATAAGTATAATAATTAAAGGAAAATAAGATAATTAAAATAAAGTATTCTAAACAGATCATTATTAAAGCAAATAAAAAGATAAAATGACACAATAAATAAAAATAAATAAAAAATTGTGATAAAATAATCGAAAACCTGTTTATTTGTCTGATGAATCGGAAATATGTTATTTATTGAAATGAAGACACGTTTTAGTTCCATCGAAAAAGTAAACTGATTTTTGTTGAATTTAATTCCTCTTTTACTCAAAATCAATGAATCGGATTAATCTGATGACTCGGAAATATGTTATTTATTGAAATGAAGACACGTTTTAGTTCCATCGAAAAAGTAAACTGATTTTTGTTGAATTTAATTCCTCCTTTACTCAAAATCAATGATTAGTTTATATACTTTTTTATTTAATAACAATCTATGATCTTTTACGATTTTTTTTATTTTATTATTTTCAATTTCTACATAGAGACTTGAATGACATAGAGACTTGGCAATGAGCAAGTCTCTATGTCATTCAAGATCAATTTCTACATAGAGACTTGGCAATGAGCAGGCGGATCGTTGGGCCAAGGAGGGCTGTAGTCATTCAACACCTTCGTCCTCAGTCCTTACCTACTCAGAGAATCAGTACAAAATCAAAAGCCATCTATCAAAAAAGTGGAGGATCCCCCCTCTCATAACTGGTATGCGGCCAAGGAACCGGGCTCTGCACTTGTTCATAAAGGTGATAGAGCGTTTCAAACAGCAGCCAGATTGGCAAGTGGACACACGAATAGTCTCTCATACTTCGAAGGAAGAAAGACTTATGCAGTCTGCTCCAAATGTGAAGCCCAGCAGGCCTCTGCCGAACATATCCTTGACTGCTTGGGCCTTTCCAAGGAGGACTTATACGCTACTCCACTTCTTGTCATCGGCTTTTTGAGGGTCAACAACCTATTGGATCTTGTCTGACTCCGTCAGACAATGGAGGATAAGGAACAACAACAACAACATAGAAACTTAAAATATAGATTAAGGGTGGTGATTACGTAACATTCTTTGGAATGATCAATGTGACTAGGAAAAACCTTAATATTAAAAAAGAGATAGTTAAGATATAATAATAAAAAAGCCCTGAACACTGTCTTTAAAAATTATAATGAGTACAAACTAAAAGATTCAGTAAAAACTGAAGTTTATTACTTCCAAAAGGATGAGAGTAAATAATGTATACTTTTATTATCCATAGAATTATATACATGCATGCCATAACAAGTGAGAGGTTAAAAGGTAAATTTACCCACACAATTTTTCTCAGGAACAAATATTATATATAATTATAAAGAATCATAATACAGTCTCAATTTCTGCTATCTCGGTGTATGATTGAGTAATGGGCTCTTTAGATAAAATCGCTAATGCATTCTTGATTGGCTCGTTCGTTATCACGTGATTCCTTGTGAGGTCTCTAGCTTGATTGATGGCGGGAATTGCGTTGTTTCCTCTATAATATTACATGGAAATGTTACATAAGCTTATAGAATGATAAAAATAAAATAAATAGAATGACGGAAGTCTATAATACAGAGTGAATCCACAATATCCACCTTTAAATGATGCAAGGTTATGAACAGATATTAGTCCGGTCACATAATCTGCGGAGGAAGTGCTTGACCGGACATTTCTTTACTCATAAACTAGCTTGATCGGACATTTCTTTACTCATAAGATTTACGGACAGGTAACGTAACAGGTTTCGTAACAGTCGGCAAAGAAGAATAGTCAGAGTTTAAAAACGTAGAATACTTTTAGTTCATTTCCTAAAATAGTGTATCACTGAATCGGTAAATATATATTTTTAAAGCCGCGGTAGCTCAGGGGATAAAGCGTTCACTTTACAATGTGGCGAACCGGGCTCGAATCCGTTAGGCCAGCCGTGAGAGGTTTTAATGGTTTCCTTCTCCATGTAAGGCAAATTAGGGTTAGTTCCATAAAAAGACCTCAATGAAGGTAAATTTCTTCCGATACTTTGGCCAGGAATTTTCTTGTCTTCTGGATTAGGTTCAAAATTATAAGCCAACGAAGATGAACATTGGTAGCCATAAACTCAAAATTGGATTGGCTGTTCAACGATGGTCATAAAAAAAATATACGTTTTTAGATGTGGTGGCTCAGAGGATATAGCTCTCTCCTTCCAATGAGGTGACACCGGTGCGAATCCGAGCGATGATTGGTTGATATGAATTCTGCACTCGGCTAGCACCAACTAATGTGCTGGCGTAAATTATCCTCAATGGTAGACGGATCATGGGTTAGACTCCACTTATTGAAAAGCTAACCGTGAGAGGTTTCCATGGTTAGACAAATTTACGAAGAACGAAGTCTCCCTTGTCTTTTGGATTGGGAAACGGAGTTTAACATTGGTAGTTGCAAACTCAAAATTGGGTTGGCTGTTTCACGACAGTTTTAAAATAAAATAAAATGTGTTAGGTAGCACTCACTGGTGCTACCTACTGGTAGATGGATCATAGGTTAGAGTCCGCTTGCCGTCAGGCTAATCGTGGAACGTTTTCGTGGCTTTCCCCTCCATGTAAAGCAAATGCTGGTTTATTCCACCAAAAAATCCTCCACGAAAGCAAAAATTGTCCAATACCTGAGCGAGTGGTGCCCTTGCCTTCTGGATTTGGTTCAAAATCTCAAGGCTACGGAGTTGAACATTGGTAGTCGTGAACTCCAAATTGGGTCGAACTCCAAATATATATAATTTAAAATTTCCGTCAAACACGAAGTAAAAAAGTAACATTTTAATTGTAGCATATTCATATTTGATTGAGGAAAAATATGAATAATTACAAAGCAATTCTGGGGAGAAAAAGTCTAAAAACATCTAAACCCGATTGATTGCAGAAAAAAAAGGAAGAAGTTGAAAAATGATTCTTAAAAATACTTCCAAGATGCATTAGACAAACAAATTGTCTTTTAGCCTTATTTACTTCTTTAGTAATTCGAGTTTCGGTCGATTTTTTCTTCCTGTCTTAAATATTACTTTACAACCCATAGCGTGCATAGATATCAATTTTGACAAGAATTAATCTTAATGGGCCGGGAATATGAAACACCCTGTACACAAATTTAATGACGGTTTCGAAACAAAAATGAGCGAAAAAATACTCGTATGGTTCATCTTTGAAGCAATCTCTTTTTCTGATTTGCATGCTGATGTTTTCTAGCAGATATATGTCTTAATTTCGCGTGACAATTTCGCCATGGAATCTTTTATTTAAGCAAATATCCTTTTGGTATTTACGCATCTTGTCTGTTAGGTTTCTGCTTTAGTTGAAATGGGAATTACAATTTCATTGGATAATCATCTCCATTTGTGCACTTTTTTAATGAAAATCTCGTTTTAGCATTTATGTTTACATGATGCTAATTTTGCGCGAAAATCAAAGGAGCTTTTAAAAAAAACATGAAACCTATTTGTATCATAGATCATCTTTAAATGCACATGATTTTAAACATTTCATGCCACGTATTATTTTGTTTACGTTAATTATTACTATTATTATTATTATTTGCATCTAGAAAATTAAACGCATAGATTAACGTAAAGATGAAAATCCCACTGGGAAATTTTATATTTACAGGAATCGTATGAGATTCAAAATTATCATGCTTAGTGGCGAAGTCCAGGGCAATTATTAGCACTTGTTTTTTAATCTAACGTTATTAAAAGCAATTTCCCTTCGAGTTAATTTAGAAATTTCTGATTTCAATAGTTTAAAATATGATTTAGCCAATTTTAGAGCAGCTTTGCCACTTCAGTTAACATTGATTTTATTTAATTTCACATGTATTTGTATACAGAGATGTCAAAACTATAAAAGAAGAAAATATTAGGTATTTTCATGCATGTCGACACTGATCAATATGTACAAAATTGCAATAAGTAGGTAAATTGTAAACTAAAACTAAAGTTTCATCTAAGATACTTTTTTTTGGATAGTAAAAAAAAATATTTCGTAAATATTTTTTTTTGTCGTATGCCTGTTTAGGCAGTGGGGGTGTGATTGTCCTTGTTTTTCAGTGGCGCCATCTATGGCCAGGAATTCGACTTCTCCCACGCCATTCACACAACCACAGCCCGTTTACTCATTCACACACAAAGGACAAAATTTTTTTTATTTTTATGTAAAGCGAAATTTTGAACGAATGATTTTCAGATTTTCTTTCTTTTCATTCATATTTTCGTCAATGATAAATTATTATTATCATTATCAACATCATGATTTGCAACGACAAATTTTTTACTAAAAACGTTAAAAACCAAAGAAAAGAACAATTTGAGTATTAACTGCAATTTATAAACTGCGAGTTTTTGACCGATTCTCCTAATTTTTAGAATTTGTTTTATTTATGAATTTTGAGATTTTAGAATTTGTTCAATTTATGTTTGAAGTGCTATACGATTTCACGCGGGCTGTAGAATATTTAAGCTGATTTCAATCAAACAAATGATGTTTTTAAAGTACTTTGCATATGACTTTAGAAATCACTGTTTTCCAAAGGTAGGTTCCAATTACAAGATTAAAGCCCAATGCAAAATATTACCCCACTAAAATATTGCTGAGAGCGGATGTTTTCAAAAAAGGATCGCTATGAATTCTAAAATGAGATCTTACTGCAATGTAAGAATAAAACTTTCGAGCTTGCGAATCCTGATTCTTGCCATGTCTAATTCATGTTTCACTTTCCAAAGCTGAGTGTCACAGACCGGATCTTTGCATCTATGGTGCTTGATCAGGTCCTGAGCCTCGTATACAGCTCCACGAAAGCTCAAGGACTTGCCCATGCTCTGTAAGATAAAAATATAAAATGTCTGTAAAATTCTTTTTTGGATAAATAGGACTATCAGCTACATTTTTGCATATATAAAACTTATAATGCGAATACTTCCATAGTTAATGATTTTCAACAAACATTCATTAGTTTCCTTTGAATTGCTTAAAACGTAAACACATGGTACACAATGAGAATAGTTTACTGTCGTCATATTGTATATTAAACAATGGTATTATCTTTAATGGTTCATGATTTTCAACGAACACTCATTAGTTATTTATGAATTCCTTATAACGTAAACACATAGTACACAATGAGAATAGTTTACCTCCGTCATCATATTGTATGTTAAGCAATGGTATTATCTTTAATGACTACAGTCTCAGAAAACGCTTCTAGAATCATGGTATTATTTAAAAATAAAATGCCTCATCGCATTATTTCATTAAACGATTGTCATGTAAATACTCGAATTTAAACTATGCACCTTGCAAACGCTTCAGAAGATGTAAGAATATTTCGATTCGACATAATGATTCAAAAAGTGACTACAATTTACATGATTTCAATGAAAAATGTCTTATGTATCAAAAAGGGTGAATGTTATTGTTGTTAATTTACGTCGCACTAGAGCTGCACAATGGGCTATTGGCGAACATCCCGGAGGATGATCCGAAGACATGCCATCACAATTCTGATCCTCTGCGGAGGGGATGGCACCCCCGCTTCGGTAGCCCGACGACCTGAGCGCGAAGTCGAGCACTTTACGGTAGCACAGTTTAACGAGGACCAATACCGCACACCCTCGGTCCCTACGCAGACTGATCCAAGTGGTCACCCACCCGCACACTGACCGTAGCCAGTGATGCTTGACTTCGGTGATCTGCTGGGAACCGTGTCTTAACGATCAGTCCACTGCGGGACTCAAAAAGAGTGAAATTAAGCCTTTAATAGAAACATCTCAATAAAAATTTTGAAAATATGAATATTAATTGAAAAAAAAATTAAATTAGATATTTAATAGAAATTGGATTCTTCCAAAAATTGCATAAAACAAAAATAATGTTTTATTACTACATACTGAAACACTTTTTTTTTTAAAAAAAATAATAATTTAGAAGGTGTGAAAGTTTGAATAAATCAAATCTGTAAAAGGTTAGACCTTTTCTCAAACTTAATTATCATGCGAACAAGCCGAAGCATGTCTGCTACTTTTTGGTTTTCCTCGTTAAAGACTCATACCCATCATCTTTCGACTGCTCTACAGTGCAGATTCTTTGCAAATTTCTTGAAGTTCTTATTAACATTGTCGAACTATATGATCTCCGCCATATCAATCAACATCGTGACAACATTGGATTTTATCTGATCCATTACAAGACTCAGTTCTTTCAAGAGTGACGTTGGATAGGCGAATTAATTTGCTCTGAGGTAAGTCAGACATGTAACTAATTTGTGGTATAATAATGTTGAATAATCATGTAGTGTGTGTAGTACTTGAACTGATTATTCGTTTTCATTGCATTATTCTTGTAGGCAGCAGTATGGACACTAGTAAAGTTACAGTCCTCTTTCATAATTGTTTTAAAATTAAAAAGTAGTTTAACATTAACATTTTTTGAATATGTTTAATTTTCCTAGTTTTTCAACCCAACCGTTACGAGTATTTTTGTTTTTTGAAACCAAACAATGAATTGCACGAGTAAATTTTAAATATTTAAAAACAAAACCTATCAAAAACACCACTTTTACAAACCTCAGGTTTTTTTTAATATTGACATTTGGCGTCATTTTTCTAATTTGTACAGAAGTCATTGGTTAAATCTGGACAAAAGTATAATACAGGGTAAAACACAAAACACCGGGGAACAATTTTTTTCCCTGTTGCGTGAGATATTTTAGCGGATTTTGGAAATTTTTATGTCGCCGATTTCAAATTTTGCATTTAGTTTCCCTCTTCAAGCTAAACTTTTTTATATGACATTTTTAGTCTATTTTTTGACGAAATGTACAAGATTAAAAAAACGATATATATAACAGGGGGTCCCGCAAATATTGGGATAAACTTGTAGGGGTGCTTAAACACATCATCTGGATTAAATCACATGCCCGGAAATGTCGTCATACTTCAATAGGGGAGCTTTCCCATTAAGAACTGTTTCTTCATGTGCCTCTGAGCAGATCATAATAAGGGAGCACCACTAGTTGCGTTTGATAACATTTCCGGGTATGTGGTCCTGTGCAATTTTAATCCTGATGATGCATCCAAACTCCTCTAGAAGTTTACCACAACAACTCCCTGTTATGCATAACAGTTTTCAATTTGTACACTTTGACAAAAAACAAATTTAAAATGTCATTTGAAAAATCTTTAGATTTAGGAGCAAAACTAATTTTATATTTGAAATCCCCAGTCCCTAATCAGGCAAGATCAAGTATCTGTATAAATGTAACAAAAACTTTGTTCCCCAATGCGATTTTTTTCTATCTCAGAATGGTTATAAAAATAGCCTATTATTTCCTAAAAAACGTTACTTAGTCTGAAGTCAGAGATTTTGCTTAAAAGCCTTATTAAAGGGATCTTTAACGTATTCGTACTTTCCAGCAAGCACATTTTAGTGGGCACTGTCTATTTTTTCAAGGTGAGTTTATATTTTCATTTTTTAGTTTTAAATAGCATTTTATTGACAACTGAAATTTTTTTTATCCTCGTGGTGCACATGCAAAACGATTAGTGGGTGCCTGTGGGCAACAGAAAGAAGAAAGAAAACTTACGAGGCTAACAAGTGTACAGCATCCGCCATTGTCTTTTTTGGAGATGTGTTTCCTTACATAAAAGAAATAAACATGCTCCAATCCAAGCAGAAAAAGTGTAAAAAGCACTCCGCATCCAAGAAGCAAAAAGGCACTCATAAATTGGTTGATATCTAGAGGGTTGCTGGCATTACGTTTCTGGTTTTGCGGTTTACAAACTCCTTGTAGCCAAAATCGTTGCAAACGTTCGATGTCCCCTGTTTTATAAACACAAGAGAAATTATTTGAAAAATATAGTCACTGTTTTTGAATATACAGAATGATCTTAGAAAAAATATCTTCACGGCTAAATCAAATCAAAAATTTAAATGACAATATCGTTCGAATGTTCTGATACCTTGATTGAGTACCAAATCGAACAGTGTTTCCGATTCTGTTGCACTTTATTATAGTACAACACAGACAGATGAGTTAATTTTCACGATCATATGGTCAATTCAATTTGACACCTGGCTAAGATTACATATTTTTTTTTGTCGTATTTTATTTTGTCGTTAGGCAGTAGGGGTGCGATTGGTCCTGTTTTTCAGTGGCGCCATCTATGGCCAGGAATTCGACTTCTGCCACGCCATTCGCACAACCAAAACCCGTTTATAGGGCGGGTCACATTCACACACAAAGGAGAAAGGATATAGAACACACACAGAGAGAAAGAAACATACATGCCTTGCCCGGGATTCGAACCCAGGACCTTTCTGATACAAGGACAGTTCCCTGCCCCCTACACAGGCCGGTCGGCTACAGAAAGTTTGCACTATATTTTATCTCAGTATGGCTACAAAAGCTTTAAAAGATTATACATAAGCTTTAAAAGATTTCAATCTTTCGACGATATCTCGTGGATTACTGAGATTTTAAAACAGTATTTTTAAATAAATAGTATAGACACAGATTATTGAAAGTTAAAGATTACAGTGATAGTGACAAAAAAGTGTAAAAGAAGTAATGAAATGGTGACTGTTACTTAGAAAACGCGATGTGAGCTTTTTCGCTGAACAACTTGCCTTTTAAAAAGAACTTTTACAAGCTTCATCTCACTTGAAGGTTGACAAGAGAAGGGCAACAGTCTTGCAAAGCAGTTTCATTTAAACACATCTAGTTATTCATCAAGTTTCCATCAACTCAAAAAATGATGTTATTTTGCTATCTTTATACATTTGTTGTACTCCTTGTAATTAAAATTAGTGTCTCAAGGTCACATTTTTACCCTTCGTCGCTTTGGTAACGATGTGACAGGCTGCAACGCTACTCTTTTTGTTCATATGGTAGTTAATAATATATAACGAATAACTGTATATTATTCTAATATTAATATAATAATAGCGTACTCTCACGTGGGAAAAAAGCGAGATTTCTAGATACCATGAAAGGGAAAATGCGGGGAAATTGCGTAACCTTATAACGCTTATTCTATTTATAAAGACTATAATTAGATCATCTTGCTGGAGTAACTTGTGACCACATGCGGCAGTGATGTTCCAATCAAGCGGCGTTTAACAACCCGCTTTCCTGTTTGGCATTTTCTTAAATGAAAAGGAAACTTAATTCTTGACTTTTATTTGTTTAGGTAACAAATTTTAAAAGAAATAAAAGCTTGCATTATAATGTCAACAAAATACAAATAAAAAAAAAGAATGAGTCGTTAAAGGTCACTGGATTGCAAATAAGCCACCAATTGTTCTGAGTGGTACGAAATTCAAGATCTATACAATTTTAAATATTTAATTTACTGGCTTATTTGACAATGTCGTACTTAAAAAATTCTTAAAAGAATGTTGAAAATTCTTTGGAATATAATATAAAAACTCTAAAAACTGAAGTTCATTCTTACCATTTTCTCTATATTCTATCATTTTTTTGTTAAATACTTGAAGATATTTGGATTCCTTTGGCATAGCAAATCCATATCCAGTCATGGCGTACCAAGACCCAACAGTTAGAAGACGGCATTCATTATCCTGGCCGACTAAGTACTCCAGTACGGTAGCATCATAAATAAATGCATCCAATTCCCTACAGAAAATCAATTATTCAGTAATTAGTTGTTTTTTTAAAAAAATAAATAAAATGTCTATAATTTACAAAGAATTTCAAAGTTAAGTAACTAAATCATGCCATAATTAAACTTTTAACTGACTTTATATCTATCTGATCAAAACGAAGAATCAATTCAGTTGTGATTTTTCGATCCCTAACGGTCATTGTAAGGTCGTCATAGTAATGTAAAGTATCAAATCACTAGCGTCAATATCAAACGTGTGGCATTGCTTAGAGAGTAGAGTTAGAGAAGAGGGTATATATATATATCACCACTAGTTGCGTTTGAT